TATGCGCAATCCAGTGGCAGTGGCCATCCCCGATAAGACGGCCTTTGTGTTTGCCCAGGCATTTGTTGAGCATTACTTGCTCAAACATCGGATCCCCGAACGAGTCATTACCGACCAGGGTAGTGAGTTCGAGGCAGAGCTATTTCAGGCGCTGTGCCGGGAGTTCGGAATCCAAAAGGACTGAACCACCCCCAAGCAAATGGTATGGTGGAGCGCATGAACCAGACCTTGGCCGGGAAGCTCAAACGTATGGCGGCCGCCAATCAGCAGGATTGAGACGAACACCTCCCCTATGCCCTGTTCACCTACACCACAACTGTACACCCATCGACTGGACAGACCCTGTTCCTAATGATGTTTGGTCGTGAGTCTCGCCGACCGGCAGACCTGTTGTTTGGCTTTCCCCTGCCACAACCGGAGGAAGGGAGCCAGCCCGTGGAGCACCTGATGGGGACCCTGCGAGTGGCCCGTGGCCGGGCCTACCAGCAAGAGGAGGCCGCCCGTCAGCAGCAAGAGCAGGGCACCCGCCCCCATGTGGAGCTCTCCTTCTACTCTGCAGGCTCTAAGGTATGGTTGCATACCCCGCGCGTAAGGCCGGACAGGTGGGGAACCTTACCACCTACTGGCGAGGACTCTGGACCGTGGCGTGGTAGATCTCCCCCTGGGCGGTGCTGATCCAAGGCGGAAAGAGGGGTCGAGAGACGGTGGTCAACGTTCACCGATTAAAGCCCTGGAGGGTGGCCCCAGCGGGGGAAGCGCCCACCCCTCGATGCCCCGAAACCCCGGAACCCCCATGCCCCCCATACCCGATGGCTTCATGCCATACATGGGTCCCACTGGGCCCGAGTTTCCAGCGGACCTTGGCCTGGCAAGGAGGCGACGGGCGCGGCGGCACCTAAACCCCTCTCTGCCCCTGAGTTTGTTCCACAGCCAGCAGACAATGGAGGGCAGGAGGAGCCTCTGGAGTGGAGATGGAGACTGCCGCTGGGGCCTCGGAAAATTGAGCCATTACCCACGAAACCAGCAACGAGAGCCGAGCGGGTCCCACGGACTCCGTGGCACTTCCTGGTTGGAGCAACCCAGAAGAGGTGCTCCAGTCAGCCCAGGATGTGGACGTGCACCTCAGGGGGCTATGTGGTGGCATATTTCGCTGGTGATTACAACCAGCTTCACCAGGCAATCAGCCGTAATTGTTTTTATGACGATGATGATGATGCTGCGCTCTCAACTGGTTGGTAATAAAACCACATGGGCCCACTTGTCCGCTGTCTGCAAGTCTCCCAGTTTATATTTGAAAATACTATTACTTATGTAGTGGGTACAAAACTTGAGACTTCTCTCTTCTGGAGGCAGCACGTTTATTTAACATTTACAAAACACAAAGGGGTACGACCCCTTCCACCTGATACACTAAGGAGGCATTTCCTCCGGAATATTCTGCCCTCACACCGGTTACGCTCTAACCCTACCCTGGTTAAGCTCGGACCCTACACTGGTTAAGCTTTTGCCCTGACCCTAGCCAGGGGTTCGGGTTCTGCCATTTGGGCTCTTCGCTTCGGGTCTTCCAGGTGGCAGCTCCAGGACTCTGGGGTCGCTCTTCGGTCTTCAGGTAAACGATGACTGTCAGTCCCGTTCAGGGGACCGTTTTCTGGCTCACTCCCCCCCCCCTAGCCACTCCTCCCTTCTGGAACCATCTGGAGGGGCCTGGAGCGTGACATCACCCCGCAGCCCCCCTCTTGGGGGTCTGGGGTCTGTACCCCTGGTCCCGAGCTATATTGGGGGTTACCTTGGCCTAACGGCCTCACTCATCTCCACCGGCTTCCCTTCTAACCCTGTTGGCTCAAGGCCGTTACTACAGGCCATAAGTAGCGGCATTTACACACAACGTTCAACGATGCCGCTACACTTATTTAGTTTTCCCATCGTGGGATTTGACCATTCGCAAGAAATTTACTACGGGAACAAAGTCCGCTGATCAAAACCCCACTGTGGTGGTTCGACCATTCACAGTTGACCGCGAGGTTCCTGCTGTACGTGCCATGGCTGCGCTGCTCGTGATGATGCTGCTGCAGTGGAAGAACACATGCGGTGTCTTGGTTCCATATTTTCCCGTCTCCGCCTCGTCTCTATTTCTGGTCTCCGTCTCTTCTCTGTCTTGTCTTCGTTTCATCTGCGTCTCATCTCCGTCTTGTCTCCCAAGTCACCCATTGTGGGTCCCAGGCCACGTGGTTTTCCATCCTCCAGTGAGGAGGCAGTGAGGTTCAGATACGTGATTGTTCTTCTTCGAGTCTATCGTGCTGTACACAGAAAATACGTGCTTTACACCACATGCATTTGTTTTTTCATTATATACATTTGTAGTGGCATAGAATAGTAATGTAGCAGCATAGCACTGGCTGCTGGCGGGGAAGAGGATATGCGGCTTACAGCAGCCCTGACGTCAGCAGGCCACGTGATACACCAGAGGGGGATCTAGGGGCAAGGTCACAGAAGGGGCACACCAAGAACCCGCTGGTTGTTTCTAAAAAGGGGGCGTGGCCTCGGGCAGAGCCACGCCACGCTGACAGCATAGGAGGGGCCCCTGTAGGGGACGTCGGGGCTGTCGTATAAAGTGGGATCCCCGTCGTGCTGCTCAAGTCAGTCGTCGTCGTCACCATTCTACTCTTAGTCACCGCAGTCGTCGTCGCTCAACATTGCGCTGCTATATGGTTGTTGGCTGTATCGGTCAGCGCCATCGGTGTTAGATGGCTAGTGTTGTGTATAAGCTAGGGTGTGTGTAGCCTAGGCGACTGTAGGGTGTGTGAAGGGAGATTGTGATTATAATAAAAGAAGTGCCTCCAAGAATTACTGCCTCTGAGTTGAACCACTACACATTTACTGTACAAGTCATATTTTACAATGCAGAAAATATGATTATATTTTACGTTCAAAATACTTTCTGTTTAGTGTTTGGCTTGATGTAGGATAACGTATTAAAAAAAGGTGGTGGGTGTGATATTACGAACCGTGAACCAAACCCAAAGTTTTCCCACAATGCTTTTCAGTTTGCGGATGATCGTGGATTTGCCGATTGCGGTTCTATTTTCAAGAACGTAACCAGACCCACCGCGATGGGCAAGGGTTTGCTGTATTTCATTTTTATTTTTGTCATCGTCAATTGATGCTCTGGTCCATAAAGGACAGAACCCACGTAAGCGGATATCGCAGAGCTACCTCCAAGATTCCTTCTACAAGTGATGCTCTGGTCCACACAGGACAGCACCCGTGGAAGTGGATATTGCAGAGATGCCTCTGAAATCCCTTCTTCAAGGGACACTGGTCCACACAAGACAAAATCCGCAGAAGCAGATATCGCAAAATTACCTCCAAGATCTCTGCTTAAAGCAACGCTCTGGTCCACACATGATGGAACCCGCGGAAGTGGATATCAAAGAGCTACCTTAGGTCACCCACCCCCTTATGTACTGTGACGGCCTTCAAAGATGCTGCTCGCTTAACATTACTTGTGCCCAAAGTTTGTTAAGGCTAGACAGAGGACCTTTGTCTTTGTCGTGGTTGGTGATGGTGGTGGGGAAACCGTCGTAGGCTTCCACTAGGTAGACTCAGCCTTAAATTAGTACCTGATGCGATGTGTAAACATCAGGACTGGGGAGACAAAGGCGGCCGGGCGTGGTGCTGGCCACCCACCCCTCATGTGCTGTGCCGGCCTTCATAGCTGCTGCTCGCTAACAGCACTTGCCCTAATGTCTTTGTGTGTGCTTGGGTTTCCTCCGAGTTAGATTTTCTCCCAAAGCTATACCCCACCCACAGTGCAACTGGCATTGACCCAAAACCACATCCCCCCAATACTGAAAAAGAATCCCCTGCAGAACATACACTCAACTGGGATCTCATAGCAGCATCAGTGGCATCGCCACCGCGAATGTGAACCAAACCTGGCAGGACCCTCTTGAATTAAAGTCTTGAGACTCTGCCGGTTTAACAAGAGGAATTTTCATGAAATATCATCACGATTCATGGGCAGATATCCCGTAAGTGTCAACTGTACTTGTCATTTGTTTCCACTTTCCTCAGTCTTGTGCCAATAAGCTCAAGTCGTTGCCACATTTTTCTGGCACCAATCTCTCATGTTGTCGTCAAGCCATTCTCTGTTAGGTCTTCCTCTCTTTCGGGTTCCTTCCATTTTTCCGAATAACAACACACTTTTAATTGTCCTGTTGTCCATCCTTCATACGTGTGTCCAAATAGTGCCAGTTTCCTCCTCACCACTGTCTGCATGATAATAACCACGATAATTATTTTAAACACTCGGCAACATTCATCTGAAACAAGAACAACGCCAACAAGAACGCGCGTGAGTAAATCATTTACTCGAGTGGATAGGGCAGGGGTCGGAGCCAGTCGCGTGTGGTGGGAAAAAGTGTGGCTACTCCCACCTCTCTCCTTTACAGCCCACACCACGGAGAAATAGACCGGGTGCTCGTCGACTCACACTGAGGCTGGTCAACCCGCATAAAGACCCATGGACTCACACATAGACCCATAGACTCCGACAGAGATTCACCACACAGAGACTCACAGACTCACACAGAGACTCATAACACACAAGAACCCACAAACTCATCGCACAGAGAGACCCATAGACTCATCGTACAGAGACCCACAGACTCACACACAGAGACCCGAATGCTCACGTAAGAGCGGTAGAAAGCCGTGGCGTGTACCGCATGGGTGCGGGTGAAACGAGGTCCGGCCCGCGGGTCGTGGGGTTTCCCCTTCCCCACACTCCAAGGTCGGTGGGCGGTGCGCGGATTCCAGAGCTTTGCTCTGTCAAGAGTTCAGGGTTCCTCCCCTGGGTCGGCTCAGCGAATGATCACCCAGCGCTGTCTTGTGTGTAAATAGGATCGACCACTGGGGAGACAAAGGCAGCCGGGAGGGCGTGGTGTTGGTCATCCAACCTCCTCGTGTGTGCCACAGGCGCTGTTGTTGCTGCTATTCGCTACTGACTTTGCTGCCTGGTGAAGGCTACACGGAGGACCTTTGTCTTTGGTGTGGAGATGGTGACTTTGCATACGGGGAGTGGTGGCGCAGCGGTTAGCGTACCAGGCGTTTTCTGAGTTGGACTCCCGGCCCGGGACCAAACATCATAATATCGAAATTATATCCGAACTGTTCTGGGCCTCCTCTAGGTGGCCTCGGCCGTAAAACAAAAGGTACGTAACTTGCTGCTGCGGAGGAGGAGGAGGCGGGTTGCAGGCAATGAGCACAGGGGGGACAGAGAGGGTCCGTCGTGGCTCTGTGTGTGTTCAGTTGTGTTCGAGACTTTGACTCTTAAACAACTTTTATTGTCGCGAGAAGCAACAGCACTGGAGGCGATTCCGATATGAAATACACAGTCACCAGCAAATAAATGAACGCGATAAATCCACGCGCCATGGCGCTAAATACACCGCGCACAACAGGCCCGAGATCGATTCCGATCCTGGGCCTCTTCCCCTCGGTCGAATCAGCCTCCAACGAGTACCGGCTGCAGCGGTGTGTGGAGTAAACATCACCACTGGGGAGACAACAGTCTGTTTATGCTACACGGGAATCTTTGGCTTTGCTACTCGCAAACAGCACTTGCCCCAAAAGTTTGTTAAGGCTACACAGGGATCTTTGTCTTAGTTTGCTACTCGAAAACAGCACTTGCCTCAACATTATGTTGAGGCTACACGTTCGATAATCGTGACTCATCCCATCAACCTGCCCGTGCGGTTAAAGTAAGTACTACATTTGTGGCCAGTCCGACTGATTAGTGGAGTAATATGAGGTCTCGCGATTTTCATTCGAAATCCACGGTCCATTGTGTAAATCTCACATGGTGGGGAAAGTATGGGTACCCTCACGAGCAGTGGCATGAGCAGGGACTTGCAGGGTTGCACCTTTAATATTTCAGCAAGAGCTGACACTTCAATAACCCGTGCTGACCCGCGTGGTGTAAGTATGGTCAAACAACCACCGCTGGATAAAGCTCAGTCCACTGCGGGATGAAGCTCAGTCCACTGCAGGATGAGGGTGTCGGTGGTCGGGAGGCGTTCACCCAGCAGTGGGTTGATCATGGCTGATGATTACCTTTGACTAACTTTTATAATCCATAGACTTCACTTTGATCGTCCATAGACTTCACTTTGATCATACGTAGATTTCACTTTGATCATCTATATCCTTAACTTTGAAGCAGCAATCATTACAGCAGTGTAATAAAGTTAAACGGATGCATTTTTTTTGTTTTAACAGCTACAGCGCGTGAGTGACGAAGGCTACAAATCATTATAACCTCACAGCCATGGATTTGGAGAAATCCAAGCAACAGCAGCAGCAACAACATCAGCAACAAATGCTGCTCAACTCTACCGAGTCGTGCGTCCTGGAATCGCTCCGGGGCTTCGTTGGGTTCCACCCAACTCTCCGCCTGCTCCCGGGCCCTCACCGAATTGTCCTTCGTTGGGAGTCAGTTACCCGGGTCGGGACAAGTCCAGAAATCGGCCAAGAGGCTGGCCGGAGGACTGGCCAAAAGACCGGTCAAGGAACTAGCCAAGGGATTGACCAGGGGGCGAGCCAAGGGATTGACCAGGGGGCGAGCCAAGGGATTGACCAGGGGGCGAGCCAAGAGACTGACCAAGTGACTAACCAAGAGACTGACCAAGTGACTAGCCAAGAGACTGGCCTGGGGACTAGCCAAGGGCTTGATCGGGGAACCAGCCATAAAAATGGGCGTGTGGCAGTGATTTCTGGGGGTGGCGCGGGCCACGAGCCAGCCCACGCGGGATTTGTGGGCGTGGGGATGCTGAGCGCCGCCGTATCAGGCCACGTGTTTGCGTCACCTGCCCCGTCGGCTGTGCTGGCGGCGGTGCGGGCGCTTGGCGCAATCGGGTGCCATGGGCGTCCTCCTCATAGTCAAGAACTATGCAGGCGACCGCCTCAACTTTGGCGTGGCAGCTGAGCGCGCCCGGGCCGAGGGTGTGGAGGTGGAGATGGTGGTGGTGGCTGATGACTGTGCCACTCCAGCCACTCGGAGTGACTCAGAAGACGAAGATGATGATGATGGTGTTCATGATGGTGGCATTGACACTGACTCGGAACTTGAGACCGATTCTGAACCTCATCCTGAGCCCGAACATGATCGTGATCCTAGCGACCGCAGGAGGGGCAACCGCAGGAGGGGCAACTGCCGATCACGACGCCTCCATCGTCGGGGCCTCTGCGGGACGTTGCTGGTGCATAAAGTGGCCGGAGCGTTGGCCGAGCAAGGCCGGCCCCTGAGCGAGGTGGCCCGGGAGGCCTGGGCGGCCGCACGTGCCACGGTGACGCTAGCCGTGGGGCTCTCATCTTGCCAGGTGCCAGGCCTGGCATTGCCGAGATGGTCGACACCACTGCAGGCCGGGGAGATGGACCTCGGCGTCGGCATCCATGGGGAAGCCGGAGCCGAGAGGGTAGCCCTGGCACCCGCGCGAGATGTGGTGCGGATTATGCTGGAGCGCATGGTTGGGGATGGTGGCAGTGGTGGTGGTGACAACGGTGATGGTGGTTTTGCTGGTGGTGGAAATGGTGGTGGTACTGTTGGTGATTATGTTGGAATTTGTGCTGGTGGTATTGGTAATGTTTGTGGTGTTGATGGTGTTGGAGATGTTGCTGGTGGTTTCGGAGATGATGATGGTAGGAGTGACGATAGCACCGGATATCATGGAACTCAACGTATCATTGAGCGGGATAGCAACTCCAGTTCTGCCGTTTCTAGATCCTCTGGAACTGGACTTAGAGTTGCAGGAGAAGCCAAACTCAGCGATGCCAGTGGAAGCCACGCCAGACCTCCCTCCGCCAGGCCTGTCAGCTGCTCGGCACAAGGCCATTTGCCCCTGCACCGTGGTGAGCGCGTGGCACTCATGGTCAACAACTTGGGGGGCACCTCTCACCTGGAGCTGGGCGTCATTGCGCGGGAGGCCGCGAGGCAGCTGGGGTTGCGGGGCGTGGTGGTGGAGCGCTCCTATGTGGGCACCTTCATGACGGCTCTGGCCATGGCCGGTGTGTCGCTCACTGTCATGCGTCTGGACCACGAGGGCATTAGGCTCCATTGCTTGGATGCGGACACTAACGCGCCTTCCTGGCCCAGAGTGTCGTGGACTTCTTCATCGTTGTTGTCATTGTCCTCTGCTGGACGGGCTTATGGGGACACTTGTGGTGGTGGTCATGGCGGTGGTCAGTATGTGGCGGAAGAGGAGGAGCTAGAGCAGGGTGATGCACTGGATGAGGGTCGTGGGCAGGAGAAAGACCATGAGAAGGGTCATCAACAGCAGGAGGGTCATCGACAGCAGAAGGATTGTCAACAAAAGGAACATCAACAGAAGGAGACTGTCTGGGATTATCATCAGGAGGTGGGACACGAGCAGGGGAAGAGTCGTCGATGGGCGATCGAGAAGATGGACGAGGAAGCTGACCAGGGCGACTCGGCGGATCGACCGGAGCCACCGAGACTAGGCCACGAAGCCAGGGGTCTACACGGAGGTCAGCGTGGAGGTGAGGACGACAGCGACTCCGGAGCTCCGGTGCGAGCTGCGATGACAGAAGTGTGCGAGGCTCTTCTCGCCCTCGAATCAGAGCTCAACGATCTCGACAGCGGGTCAGGCGATGGCGACTGTGGCACGAGCCACGCTCGGGGGGCCCGTGCCTCACTCCACTGGCTCCGTCACCTCCGGGCCAATCCCAGGACGGCCTCTGCGACCATCCCCGGGCACCTCCTCCGCAGCCTCTCGGAGCTCCTCGAGGAGGACATGGGTGGTACATCAGGCGCCCTCTACAGCCTCATGCTGAGTGCGGCGGCCGGTGCCCTGGGGTCAGCGCCGCGCCCGTTCCCCGCCGACTGGGCCCGTGCCTTCGCGGCCGCTGTGAGGGCAGTCAGGCGGCACGGCGGGGCCCGCCCTGGGGACCGCACCATGCTAGACCCGCTCTGGGCCGCTCACCTGGAGCTGCGCGTCCTACTAGCGGGACCTGCAGTTGGGAGGCGAGGTTTTCCGATGGACGGGGCCTGCGGGGCGGAGGCGGCAGGTACCAAAGAAAGCAGCGGACAGGAGGAGAAAGAGGAGGCTCATGTGCTTAATGCTAAAGAGGTGTTGGCACGGGCGGTGGACAGAGCTACAGCCCAGGCGCTCGCTACGGCACAAATGGGAGCTCGTGCAGGCCGGGCCAGGTGGGCGAGGGCCGGGGAGGCGTGGGGTCGCGTCGATCCCGGCGCGAGGGCCGTGGAAGTCGCACTTAAGGCATTGAGTTTCTCGCTGCAGACTCAGGGCCACTGGTGATGCCTCGGTGACAGTTGGTAAAGGGTTGTTTAACCAGTTAACCATGGTTAACCACGGCTAACCGGTTCAGACGGTTAACCGGCTAAGGGTTGGGAATGTCAACTAAAAGCCTACGTTTCGATTTAAAGCTTTCATAACAGCAGGGATTCATATTCATGGTTCTTTCGGTAAAGTCACGTAGAAGGGAAATAATAAAATAATAATAAAACAATTAAATGATCACGACGTTTCTATTGCAACACAGGCAATCATCATCAGGTGTGAAAACCACAGCAAGAAAATTGTTGCTATGGTTTTCACACCTGATGATGATTGCTTGTGTTGCAATCATCATCAGGTGTGAAAATCATCGTGTTCCTCTTGGTGAGGACAGTGGGGTGTGCTATTAAGGTTTCCCCCCTTCCCACAGGTTTGTAATGATTTGAAACGGTTTGTAATGGGTAGTGGTAGATATTGTAGTTACTTTTTTATCCATCCTGTTGAGAGTTGTTGTGGAAAGTGAGCCTGGTCCGCCCTCGAGAGATGCACTGTGGTCTCACCGGGAGTCCATGGAGGGTTTTTTTTCTCAGGCTTGGTGTTGGGCGCAAGTTTGTTTGTTTCGTTCTTCCCCTGTTCATCCCTTTGCACCAAAATCATTGCGTCCCAGTCTAGGCAGTATGGAAATACCCTCGATGCCTTTGTATTTCCCCAATGAGAATGCCTGATACAATGGGCTTGAGACTCCTCACTCGACCTTCAATAATAGCACCAAAAACCCCGGTGGGTTTGCTCAGATACAATGGACCTCTTTAACAATGTTTTAGGCATAAAGCCCAGCCCCTCGATTGAAACAAACCTGTGGGGCCTGAAAGATTACGTTAAAATTCCAGCACACACTACTGCGGACCCTTGACATTATGGCTGGGTAGGCCATGAACGCTCGAGAGGCGTGAAAGTGCAAGGAGCTTTTGGCTTTTGTCTTAGGAAAGTAATTAATAAGGTATAAATTCTCATATCATAGTATAAAAAATCATATTCGTTAGTCCTGCATTGGCAGACTCCGGGGATAGCACTGGTAATCTGGCTAAGAGTGAGCTTTGGAGAGGTAAAAAGTTGAGCTCTTGCTAAGGCAGACTCCTCTAAGTATCGCTGAAATTTTTCTTTTACGTTTTTCTTGATATTTTGAGTCACTTGCAGAGTCAAGGACTTCGAGAAGTTGTATTGTTCTAACCTAAAAGTTGTGATAAGCTAAGAGGTGTGCCAATGAATTTCATATAATACTGTGATAAGCTAAAACGTGTGAGAAGTTAAGTGGAAATTTGAGTCATACACGAATATCGAGCGTACATGAAATATTGTCCAAGCTATAGGCTGGAAAAGTTATGTTGGTCGAGTCCAGTGACTGACATTGTATCAGATGGAGAGGCCAGGAGAGTGGTGGACACGTGCAAGCTGCTGCACAGCGTGGGGTCTCTTGAGTGAGCGACCAAGGGTGATCGCGATCCAAGCCACTCTCAAGGCTGCTGACAGGCAGCGTGCTGGACCAGCGTAACTGCAGCATGCTCCAGCTGCAGATCGAGCCTGGGTGCAGACAACCCGTGTGCGCAGCGCAGCAGCTAGCGGCCAACTGGCAGCGTGCTGACTGGGGAGCAATGAGCGCACTCCAGCTGTGGATTGAGCATGATGCACAGACAACACCGCGAACGAGCAGCGAGCTGCGTGGCCACGAGCGCACTCCACCTGTTGTTATGGGACTGGAGGTATTTTTCGGAAAGAAAGAATATATCCAGTAAGATGAGCCATTAACTTTACACTCACCATTTTTAACTGTACCTCGTACAGGTTATGGGCCAAGAAGAATTTCAGCTTGCATGTGTAGGGATTATTACGGGAGAAACGGCGGACAACAAACACAGGGGTGTCGGCACTCACACACACGGGTGGTCACACCGACGTCCGCATCCGTTATTGCCCACGCCCCCAGCCCTCGGAGGTGATCCCTATAAAAGGTTGGGAGCCAGAGAGCTCGAGGCAGTTCTACACGAAGCTGACCAGTGAAGATCGAAGGCTCGGAGATTAGACCCTGGGACTCCCCGGTCTCGCCGTCCTTATAAGGGCCGAGCCGGGTAAGCCAGCGGCGCGGCCCAAAAGCTCCCGGACCGCTGCCCTTATCAGGGCAAGGCTGGTTATCTGGTGCCGAGATCTGTGCTTGCCAGGGCCAGATCAGTCAGCCTCCCGTAGCCCAGTAGAGGAGGACTGGGGAACAGGACAGAGGGCTTAGTACTAGGGTGGGTTTCCCATAGTACGGGTGAAGGGGCCGATACCCCTTCAACTATTGTGCCTGTCCCTGGGTTAATAAACAGAGTGTGCCTCAACTCCGACATCGTCTCCTCGAACTTACTACACATGCATCACACTATAACAGATTGAGTATTATCACGTTATCATGAGACATTAGCCGGGTTGTTTTCTTGTAACCACGTGATCGTGAGATCCAATCGTTGATGCTTTTATGATCATTCAGTACGGATTGATGATTACGTATATTTGCATGTGTAGTGACATCGGGGATGTCACTGTATGGTGCCGGCCCGGAAGGGTCGTGCCGTTCGAAGTTCTTACATCGTGGAAAGCGCCGTGTGGGTGGCTGTGCGTAATACCAGCAGAAATTGTGGGAATGGTTTTGGACCCAAAGACGGACTCCTTACACCGCGTAGAGAATAGGGCTCACATGGCATGGCTATATAGAACTAGAAGCCATAATTCGGATCCAACACACAGGAAGAGGGATAATGAACCCAGCCTTTCCGAGGGAAGTAAAAATCACGTGAGCAGCGACAGCACATGTGAGGCATTTAATACACCAAGCCCCACAATGCAGAGAGGAGCAAGCACCCACGAACTACCAACATAATTATGCACACAGATGGCGAGGTAACAATCCAGCGAGAGAGTGGCACACAAATCGGAGGCGACCACAGCGCACAAAGACAAGTATTTACGGGAATCGCAACGTGTGGAGGCCAAGAGCAGAATCATACCAGAACCCCATGCCACGGCACACGGAAGGTCAAACACAATCTGCCCATTTCCGATCGATACCCCTACCGGTTATACCAGGAGGGAGTAGAGAAAGAGGAAATAAGGAAACAAATGGGCTCAACTGAGATACAAAATGTGGCACAAACACATGATGAATCACCCACATTAATTGAGAATGAGCTGTCAGTGAGAGCACTGCCCGCTGAATTACTGCAAAATCACATCCCCCTTGGAGAATACAAGCAGGCTGCTAGTGGCAAGGCAACCCAGAAGGGTAGCAATGATTGGGAAACTCTAAATGTGTCGAGAACCAATTCTAATAACGCGGTAGAGAACGCAAGCATCGCTCCCGTAATTGACACACTTATTGAACATAAAAACATAACTGCATTGAGGTGTGATCCGACAGGAGATGATAACAAACCGCAGGGAGGGGGAGTAAAACCTGATCGCCAGGTAATGGGAAAAGCCGCCCATTGTGTCGCGGATTTGCGTGATTGTACTATGGATGGGGCAGAGAAATGTGCTACAGGAGGAATGCTGGCATCAGCCTTTGGATGAAAAATTGTGCATTGACACATTGAGGATGGATGTAGATCAGAGTGCTGAAATGGAGGGGATAAAGATCCATGACGGATCGGGAATTGTGTTGAAACCCAGCACACTCAAACGCACAAAAAGGGGGACCCAACGGGGCACAGAATCGAATCAACTCACCGAGTCGACAAATGCGCATATTGCCCCGGGGACGGCAATTGCCACCGACAGTCGAGCATGGAAACTCGTGGTGTGTGCTGATTCTGGTTATGTGCAACACAACTTCACGCCACATAATCCCACATGGAAAGAGAGTGACATGAGAAAATACAAAAATTAACCAGTAAACCATGCTCAATTGACCAAAGTCATAAACACTATGAACCAGGAGGATGATGTTATGATGTTGTGTGAAAAGGTAAATGGTTACCTGGCCATGAGAATATTGATAATGATCATGAAATTGCCACAAAAGAACCAAGTTTGAAAGACATTGCGTGGAAATCAGCATGTCATCCCAAGCAGGCGACACTCTTAACCAAAAGTGTCAAAGCAGCCGACACTCATAACTTGATAAACATGCTGCAGGGAGGTAACATAAGGAAGGCAATGCACAACCGTGTTCGAAACCGCTGCTTGGCGTTTCCCTGGGACTAAAAAAAAATCACAGTAAAAATAATCGATAAGAACCGATGTAACATGTTGCCTTGATATATATGTTTTGCTTATTTCAAATGTAACCATGCTAAGTTCGTGATAAATACGCGCGCGGTGTAAGAAAATAGCAGCCGAAACTTGAGGACAATTGTGAGTTCATATTGGAAAAAGGCATTTATTTTGTTTAAAAATAACCCGTGGCCAATCGACCACTGATATTTTTTAAACGGCGGAATGTTGTATATATATGCCTTTTTCCAAAATTGATATTAAGAATAATTTTGCCAATTCTTTTTTTATAATAATAAATCGGGGGGTAGCGTGGGGCACAAAAAAATAATAAAAACTCTCACCCCTCACCCCGCTGCCCTCACAAGCCAGACAAGAAGGCAACAGGAGATAAGCCATAAAAGGTCATTTAAAAAAAAAAACCCCAAAACAAAAGAGAAGGGGGGGGGGTTGCTAATGAGATTCTGGGGAATCTCTACATGGCTTCAAAGGCCCCCTCAAAAGAGTACAGACAGCAGGCGCCACGATGAAGAAACAGGCACATTTTTTTTAAAAATTTGGGTTCTTTTAACACAACGGTAAAAGTCCAAAACTTAGTGACAAGAATAAGTGGACATCATAGACTGCCAACACACTCCGATTAAAAACCAGCCTACAATCTACTGTTAGTGGGTTATTATTTCTCATATATTATTTTAATACTAATGTTATTCACCTTATTTTTTATTCTTCTTCTTCTTCTAGCTACGCGACTTTACCGAAAGAACCAAAGAATGAATTCTGGATAAACATAAACCAAATAATAATTATGAAGTATTAGACCGAGGGTCATCCAGAAGAATATAAAAAGGCAAAACAGGTCAATCACACATAACCAAAATAAAATGTATCCCATAGAGAGAGAGCCTCCCGACCGCCTTTGTCTCCCAGCAGCACGTGATAGAAAAATTAGCATACGCATGCAGAGAGCATCTCCCCTTAAAAAGAAAATCAAACA